AATGATTTAAAAGTTCATGGAAAATTCAGGCCCAGAGACCCAATTCCAGACCACATGAATTATTTTATAGCCTGAACCTTTAACTGAGTCACTTGAATCAATGGCATTTGCTGGAGAGCTCTGCTGATGTAGTGGGCACAGGGCTGGCCCAGAGGACTCGGGTCTCTGAAGTCAGGTCAGTGACTTTGGCTGGAGATGGGCATCTCTCACAGTGAATTGCAACAATAGTGGTGGTCAGTCCAACAGATACAGCTTTTGTGTCTCATATATGCTATATAAAGAAGCTTCTCTTCTTACCCACTTCTGGCTTAAGGCAGCTTGATGGAGAAATGTTTTTAATTTTTAATTTTTTTAAATACCAAAAACATTTTGTATTGGGCTAGAGCCCATTAACAATGTTGTGGTAGTTTCAGGTGAACAGTCAAGGGACTTGGCCATACAGATACATGTAACCATTCTTCCCTAAACCTCCTCCCATCCAGGCTGGCACATAACATTGAGCAAATTTCCATGTGCTATACAGTAGGTCTTTGTTGGTTATCCATTTTAAATATAGCAGTGTGTGCATGACCTTCCCAAAGTGCTTAACTATCCCTTCCCCCTGGCAGCCATAAGTTTGTTTTCAAAGTCTGTGAGTCTCTTTCTGTTTTGTAAGTTCATTTGTATCATTTCTCTTTAGAGGCCACATATAGGGGATGTCATATGATATTTCTCCTTCTCTGTCTGACCTACTTCAGTATGACACCCTCTAGGGCCATCCATGTTGCTGCAAATGGCATTAGAGAACTGTTTTTAAGAGCCAAAGTTCCTGGGTTCAAATTGTGGCTCCTCTGTCTACTAATCATGTGGCTTTGTGAAAATCACATAGCTTTTGTAAGCCTCCATTTTCCTATCTCCGAAATACTGACAAACTTCCATAAATACAAATGAAGCAGTGAGTCAGAGTAAAATTTTTTCAGCTTCCTTAACGGCAAGAATCATTGCTGGCCTATTACTGTATATTTAGACTTCTGCTGAACAACTGCATTTATGAAATACATTTAGGAAACTGGTTCATAATTAGGGGAGCTTCCATATTGGGGTCTTGGAGAGCTTCATTGATTGCATATTGCAGCTGGATATCAATATCAAGTTATCTACTTTAGTGGTATCCAAATTAGGTTCCACTGGGCACTAGATTGCCACAATGGAGATTCAAAAATCTCTAGAGGGAATAAAGAACATGAGCGCCAATGAGTAGATGAATTTCTCACCCTCTATCCCTTCTTTAGGCAAAGCATCTATGGCATAATAAATATATATTTGGCCTCTGCTCTAGATGCTGACACGGGCTTCCCTGGTGGCTCAGAGGTTAAAGCGGCTGCCTGTGTCTGCCTGCAACGTGGGAGACCTGGGTTCAATCCCTGGGTCGGGAAGATCCCCTGGAGGAGGAAATGGCAACCCACTCCAGTATTCTTGCGTGGAGAATCCCATGGACGGAGGAGCCTGGTGAGCTACAGTCCACGGGGTCGCAAAGAGTCGGACACGACTGAGCAACTTCACTTTCACTTTCACTTTCTAGTTCCTGACACCCCTGCAAGTTCCTGAATGAGGATGAGAGTGATAAATTCTTAGACAGAGCCCCTCAATCTCCTGAAGTTCCCTGGGTTATGGGAGCTTATTTTGCTCTAATGAGGAGACTTGGTGGGCTCCTGGATGACCTCAGGTTAGAAGCTGGTCACCAGAAAGATTAAGCCATGATTGGAAGCTTGGAACTCTTAGCTCCACTTGCCCATCCCCAACCTCTGAGGAGGGGAGAGGGGTCAGAGATTATGTTAACAGTCAATCATGCTTATATAATGATGTTTCCATTAAAAAAATCCCTAAACTACATGCTTCAGGGGACTTCCCCTGTGGCTCAGTGGTAATATGCCTGCAATGCAGGAGATGTGGGTTTGATCCCTGGGTCAGGAAGATCCCCTGGAGGAGGACACGGCACCCTGCTCCAGTATTCTTGTCTGGAGAATCCCATGCGAAGTGAAGCCTGAAGGGCTATAGTTCATAGTCCACAAACAGTTGGACAATGACTGAAGTGAGCATGCACACATACATAGACTTCAAAGAGCATCTGAAACAGTGAACACATCCATGTCCAGGAAGGGAGTGTACCCCAGCTCCACAGGGACAGAAGCTCCTGTGATGGAGACCCTGTGCAGAACTCACCCTCCGTACTCCCTCATCCAGCTACTCACTGGTATCCTTTATAATATTCCTTACAATAAACCAATCCACATAAAGTGCTTCCCTGAGCTCTCTACTTTAGCAAATTGTCAAACCCAAGAAGGGGCTGGAAACTCTCACTTTATATCCAGTTGTCCAGAAGTACAGGTGACAACCTAGATTTGTGACTAGTGTCTGAAGCGAGGGCAGTCTTGTGAGACTGAGTTCTTAACTTGTAGGGTCTGTGCGAACTCCAGGTAGATCTTGATGGAATTGAATTTTATTGTAGGACATCCTGCTGGTGTCCAGAGTTGGGGAACCGGTGGTTGGTGTGAGGGGAAAAAACCCACACATTTTGTGCCAGCAGTATTGTGAGTAGAGAAACAGTTTTCCTTTAGCACCTTTATTATTATCTGTGCCATGTTTCGAGATTCTAAGTAAGGTTTTATTTGTTCTAGGGGATCTATTGATAGAAAAAGAGCTAGACTAAGAAAGGCCTAATTCACTCCTGGAGTGAGTTCAGTGGCTTGGCTACAATCGTGTTAAATGGGCTGGGAACACAGAATAGGACTCAGAGCCGCCTCTAAAACTCCTGATTCAGGAGCTGAGTTAATGTTATTGTGTGATTCCTGCTCTCTGTCTTGGTCCAGCAGAGTCTGGTAATGCCCATTCAGAGGTTCAGGAGGTCACAGATGGGTCGTGAGGAAATAGCCTGAACGCTTGGTTCACTGGCTCCACTGGGATGATTTTGAGGTGGTGAACTTAGGGGAACAGCGGAGGAAGAAACACAAAAAGCTTGGCATTGCTCCCTCAGCCCCTGGCTTCCTCCACTGACTCATGTGGGGAACAAAAACACAGGAAAAAATATGGAGTACCTGTGCCTTGTTTAATGATAAAGCAGTCTTTAGGGCAGCCTGGAAAGTAGTGACTAAGTTGGAATCTTGAGACCAAATGGAAGACTAGCTCTTCTTGTAACATTTCTTAAAACCAATCTTTTAATCCAGATTTTTAAATGTTACTTAAGAAAATTTTAATAAAAAATTGATTGGAAAATGGGATGACAGTTCCTCAAGCAATTCAATGTAGAATTACCATATGATCCAGGAATCCCACCCCTGGGTGGGATATGTTCAAAAGAACTGAACGCAAGGTCTGAAAAGATATTCATTCACTCGTGTTCATAATGACATTACTCACAATAGCCTAAAGGTAGAAGCAACCCAACTGTCCATCAGTGGAGGAATGAATAAATAAAATGTGGTCTATTTAGGTAATAAGAAGTTATTCAGCCTTAAAAAGGAATGAAATCCTGGCTCATGTTATGGCTAGATAAACCTCGAAGATGTTATGCAAAGTGAAATAAGCCAAACACAAAGGGCAAATGTCTTATGATTCCACCTATATGAGGTACAGAGAGTAGTCAAACTTAGAGACAGAAAAGACAGTGGTTGCCAGGGGCTAGGAATAAGGAGAATAGATTGCTATGTTTAATGAGTACAGAGCTTCAGTTTGGGAAGATGAAAAGTTTCTAGAAATGGATGGTGGAGATGGTTATACAGGGGCTTCCCAGGTGGCTCAGGGGTAAAGAACTCATCTGCAACGCAAGAGACAGGGGTCCAACCCCTGCTGCTGCTGCTGCTAAGTCACTCAGTCGTGTCCGACTCTGTGCCACCCCATGGACTGCAGCCCACCAGGCTCCCCCGTCCCTGGGATTCTCCAGGCAAGAACACTGGAGTGGGTTGCCATTTCCTTCTCCAATGCATGAAAGTGAAAAGGGAAAGTGAAGTCGTTCATTCGTGTCTGACTCTTAGCGACCCCATGGACTGCAGCCCACCAGGCTCCTCCATCCATGGGATTTTCCAGGTAAGAATACTGGAGTGGGGTGCCATCGCCTTCTCCATCAACCCCTGGGTCTGGAAGATATCTGGAGGAAGAAATAGCAACCCACTCCAGTACTCTTGCCTGGAAAAATCCCATGGACAGAGGAGCCTGGTGGGTTACAGTCCATGGGGTCAGAGTTGGGCACTAACTGAGCACACACGCCAGATGTCAGACAATGTTTACACAACACTGTCAATGTCCTTAATGCCACTGAACTACACATTTCAAAATGGTTAAAATGATAAATTTTATGTTACACATATTTTACCACAATGATAAAAAAAAAACAAGATCAAATCTAGGCAGTGTTTTGAGAAGTACATATATATATAGGGCATTTAACAAAGAAGAAAAATTCTAGGCGTTACACCCACGTGTATCTTTGCCCTTTAACTCTGTTCAGACACTTTCCAGTTAGGACTATTTTACATCTAGAGTAAACAGGATGCCCATTGTGGCAGGAACTGGATTTCTGGGGAAGGATCCTGGATTGAATCTTTTTAGGAAAAATCACATAACTCTGATGTATTATTAGTATCTTAATGGTGTGAGCTGTTTTAAAGAGATAGCACTTTTCTCAGTGGCCACCTGGAGGGAAGAAGTGGCTCAGACCTCAGGAATGGTCACTTGGAAGCACACCGGAGACATGGCCTCTTCCTGCCCCTTCGTACACAACCGCTCTCACAGCACATTGTTTCGGGCATATCCTTATCTTTTTATGGAAAGCCTAGAAGAGAAACAAGGGCCTCTTCCTATCGAGGTTGTGGAGAGGGTAAATATGAAATCAGTGTATGCAAAAGTGCTCAGCAAGCGCCTTGCAGACATTGGGCACCCAGGGAATATTCTAGAACTTCGGCTGTAATTATCCACTATATCCCAGGTATTTTCACACATCACAAAGTAGCAATTGAGCATCTTACCATGTGCCTGGCTCTTTACAAATCACAGATGGTGAAACAATGAATCCAATAAAGTCTCTGCTTTCATTCTAGAAAGGGAACAGAGACCATACAGATAAATACATGACCATAAAGATAAATACAAGAAGAAAGATAAAGTTATTGGTGTACATGAAGAACTGAAAGCAATGGATGGAATCAGACCAGATGGGAGATTAGAGAACTTCATCACATAGAGTGTATGATGTACTCTGAACAGTGGGTTCATGCCATGGTTAAGATTAAGGTGTTGGAACGCGTTAGCCTGAGGGTAAATGTGTTCTTAAGCAAGCAACTTATTCTTTCTAGGCCTGCGTCTGCTCAACTGTATCCAACTCGTAAGAGTGTTGTGAAAATTATTATATCCAATACCTGCTAAGCTCTCAGTAAATCATCTATCATTCTCCTGCTTAAAATCTGTCACGACCTCTCTTTCCTCTTAAAATCCACAACCCCAGGCATGGCCTCCAAGATGCTGCCTGGACATGGCCCTTGCTGGCTTCTCCACCTTCCACTGTGCAGTCTCCCTCCCAGTCTCCAGATTCTTCTCACCTGATCGTGGCTCTGGTCCCTCACCACGCCAAGGCACTGCCTCCAAACTCACTTCCCTCTCCTGTTCTCCCGGCTCTTGCTCATCCTTTAAATTTCAGCTTAAATATTATCACATCCTTGACCAATGGTTTGCTGGATAAACTGACAGCATCACCATATTTAGTGACCCTGATACGCACATCTGTTCAAGGTGAAGAGACAATTCAATTGCACTGCTGTTGACAGACATGCTGGTGAAATCTGTGCTACTCACCATCAGATGGAGAAGGGGGAGGAAATCAATCTTTTTAAGGTATCTGTTTGATTTCAGATACTATATATAGTATGTACTTGCTACATATTTTATCTATTAAACTCCCGAAACTCATTGAAGCAAATGTCATTATTTTTCTTTAAGATACGGAGAAGTATGGATGAAGAAGTGATAGGTAGATTCTAATATTTATGCAAAACCTTTTAGTCTGAATGCTGGGCCTAAGAATAAGAGCTATTATCATTTGCCTTTCATCATTGTTATTAAATGTGAAGTTGTGTCTGACTCTTTGAGACCCTATGAATGGTAGCCCACCAGGCTCCTCTGTCCATGGAATTTCCCAGGCAAGACTACTAGAGTGGGTTGTCATTTCCTCTTGCAGGGGATCTTCCCGACCCAGGGATCAAACCAGCCTCTCCTGCATTTGTAGGTGTGTTCTTTCCAAGTGAGCCACCTGGGAAGCCCCAGGTAGATCCTGGTCTCTACCTGGGGCTTCTGGATGGATAAATCAGCTTTATTCTCTTTATTTGGACTAATCAAAATTATATCAGCATTTAGAAAATAATGTCTGTAAAGAATAGGTATCTCCATACTCCGAAATTATGAAAATCAATTGTTTTACTCACCCTACATATTCCCATGGATTGTGTCTTGAAAGTCAGCCCAGGATTACCAAAAGAACCTGAAGAGAGTGGATTTGATATTACTAATATTATTAACTAACATTGGGTATCAGAAAGTACTTAGTAAAGAGTATATGCTCAATAAATATAGCTCATGCTATGAGTCAGGCATTTTCACCTGCCTAATTCCTTAATTTTATAAATTAATTCTGTAAGTTCTACTATTCAGTTCCTACCATGTATCAGGCAATGTGCATAATGGGGTTAAAAACAACAACTATGGGCTCAAGCTTAGAGTCTACTGCAGGGCTACATACAAGCATGGCTCAAAGACATTGTGGGTTCACTTCCAGACCGCCATGATAAAACAAATACCACAACAAAGCAAGCTGCATAATTTTTGGGGTTTCCCAGGCATATAAAAGTTATGTTTACACTATACTGTAGTTCACTGAGTATGCAATAGCATTATGTCTCAAAAAAAAAAAATAGTACATATGTTAATTAAAAACACTTTATTGCTAAAAAATTACCAACCATCATCTGAGCTTTTAGCAAGTCTTAATCTTTTTGCATTAGTAATATCAAAGATCACTGATCACAGATCACCCTAAGAAATATAATACAACAAAATAGTTTGAAATATTGTGAGAATTACTGAAATATGACACAGAGACATGAAGGGAGCAAATGCCACTGGAAAAATGGGTGACAGATTTGCTCTATGCAGGATTGCCACAAACCGTCCATTTGTAAACATTCAGTATCTGCAAAGTGCCACAAAGTGACGCACAATAAAACAAGGTGTGCCTGTAATGAAATAATAAAATTATAAATAATTATTAGTGAAACCATTGCTATGAAAGAAACAACAGAAAGCCAGGACAGAAAATAATGGGGAAGGAACTGCTTTATGATAAGCGGCAGAAATGGCATTTCTGAGGACGTGACAATTAAACTGAGACCTCAGGGATAAGAAGGAGGCAAACATGCATGTTCTCCATGAGGAGAACAATCCAGACAGAAACAAGAACACGTATAAAACCTACAAGGCAGGGAAGAGAGCGATGGAGTGTTTTGGGACATAAACAATATTTGCACAGCTGAAGTGCAAGAAACAAGCCATGCGCGTGTGCAAGACACGCATGCAGAAGTAAATAGGCTTCAGATCACAGAGGGACTTAATTCCATAATTAGGAGGTTATTACAATCACAACAGGAAGCTTCTGCATGCTCTTCAGCAGCAGAGTGAAAGGATATATATTTAAAAACAATTGCTCAAAGCTGCTGCAGAGAGAATGTATTAGGCTGGTTTCACTAAGTATAGGAGACTAGGAGGAATTTGTGTTGGTGGTGGTTTCTTATTTGTTTTGCGGTGACTTATCACTGAGCCTCCAGCAGGAAATAATACTTTTAAACAAGGAATTTGGGGATTTAATACAGAGTTAAGATGAAGGTAGGGCACAGGGAAGTCAGAAAGGGCAGAGCAGTCTCTTGGGGACAAGGGCTAGTACAGAGCAATCACTACACCAGCCAGGAAGACACAAATGGAAGGAGGGATAATGAGAACATAGGACAGAAGGCTGCCTCCTGAAGGGAAATGAGACTTTCCATTGAGAATCCCTGCAAATCCATGGCCCTCCTAAAAGGAGGGAGCGCATGGAACACACACCCCAACTTCACTCTTCTCCCTCCTTTCAATTTCCCACCCCTACTTGCCATTAGACTTCACTGGTGCTCAGAAGGTAAAGAGTCCAGCTGCAATGCAGGAGACCCAGGTTCAATCCCTGGGTTGGAAAGACCCCCTGGAGAAGGAAATGGCAACCCACTCCAGTATTCTTGCCTGGACAATTCCATGGACAGAGGAGTCTGTCTATGGGGTTGCAAAGAGTCAGACACAACTGAGCGACTTTCACTCACACTCACTCTCCATTAGCCAAAAGCCCAAGGGCAAGGGGACCTACGGATACAGCTTATACAGATAAACCTGCTGGGGAATAGCGCAGGATGGAGCACGGCTTTGGAAGGGAAAATGGAAAATATGCCACCCAGAAGGTGACAGTGAATATAAAGCTCAAACGAAGAATGCAGGCTATCCTTGCATATAGAAATCCTATGAGATGCAGATGTATATTTTGTAGAGAGCAGAGGAGAAAGAGGTATTAACTATGAACTTTAGGCTTCTACCTGGAGTCATGGGGTTGATTATGGCACTGTTCACTAACATGTGATAGACTTTGGGTGGAATGGATTCTTAAGGAGAAACTCAAGATTCACTAGCATGTTAAGTGTAAGGTGTCTGACCATCCTAGTGGAGATGTCGAACAGGCAGCTCGATGGATAAGACTGTATCTCAAAAGACACACCTAGGTTGGAGAGAGAAACTTGAAAGTCATCAGCACACACATAGTGTTTAATGAGATGATAATGGCTAATATCTAGAGAGAGCTTGTGAAGAGAAGAGAGAACCTATTTTCAACTTCTGAGATCAGATCAAAGAAGAGAGACCAGTGCAAAAACTGAGCAGTATAGCTAGAGTGGCAGAAAGAAAACCAGGAATTCATGAGGTCACAGAAATTAAAAGAAGAGAATATTTCAGGGAGGGGATGGTTCATTACGATGAATATATAACTGAAATGATAGCACTTCTGGACTGGCTTCAGTTACTGGAGTAGGCAGGAGCCAGATGAGAATAGATTTTTCATAATAAGCTTGTGATATGTTTCATTTTATATATAGGTTTCTTTTTTTAAAAACAGGTGAAAATTAATGCTGAGATGAGTTAAGTAGCTCTTTTATTTAGTTACTAAAGATTGAAAGCAGATCTTGAATCCCAACATGTCCCCTTTCCATTCTGCTGAGTAATGTTCCAGCTCTATGATTCACGCTACACGGGAAGAAGCTTGGAAGGAACCGTCAAGTTAGCATCTCACAGGGAGAAGTTTGGAAGAATCCATCAAGTTAGCATCTCATTCCAGGAGCTTGCCAGATATGACCTTCTCTCAGCTCTGGCTCCTGAAGGTAAAAGATGAGTAAAGGCTTTCCCTCCAAAGGGGAAAAAAATAACATAAAATAAACGGCAAGATATTAATCTTGAGACCATTTACAGAGAGGTGTTAAGTGCCCCCACTGGCGTTAACAGCAATGAGCTCGAATATCACTTGTACAGCAAACAGCTTAGCTCTGCAGATAACAAGTCACAGCAGGCCTTCTAGGGTTGCAAATGCAGTCTCTTTGTTTGCCAATTAACTCTTTCCCACATTGCTTTTTATGTACCCAGCTGGGAAGCTTTGCTGAAGGAGCTCGATCTGCCAGAAAACAGCACTGGCCTGGGAGTTGGAAGAGATGATGCCACAGAGGCAGCGGGTGGTAATAGTAGTGGAACAGTCATTAGTAAGCCAGAGCCCTCGAAGGCTATTTTCTGAAATAAATTTCCCCATTTTCTGAGCTTAGTATCAGTCAATGTCATAAACAAGACATTGTTCTTTCATCTCAAGAAATTTCAATTTGCCTAAGTTGTCCTGAACATGCTAAACAAAACACTCTGTGGTCTTTCTGAGTACTCTGCCAATAGTCCTTAAATCATTGGTGATACCACAGGTTAGGCTTCTCCAGGAGCAGGTGACTTTGTGGCCTAGAGAGAGCTGCAATCGCATTCGTTGGAACCAAGACTTCCAGCAGGTGAAATGCAGGAATCTCATGGATGCTCTTTGCCTGCCTGAATGTGACAGGACTGACAATCTCACCTTCATAAAGCATGCTTTATTTTGTCTTCCTGCTACCATAATTCAGGTGTTGTTCCTTCCTCACCGACGATTCTTTCTCAGTCTCTTGTACTAGTTTCTCTTCTTTTCCGCAACCTATAAAAGTTGAAGCATACTGAGGTCTTTCCGAAGCTCCCTTTATCTCTTTTTCTCCATGGAGGGTGCTGATACAATTTATCATCTGAAACAGGACCACTTTGAAAGAGTAAAGATGCTAAGCCAGGCAATCAGTATTACAGGACCACAGATGTGTTTCAGGGGGTGCCCACATCCTCTACAGAGCAAAGATTCTTTTTTTTTTTTTTCGTAAACTTTTCTCTGTAGACTCTGGGCTCACATACTCAGTGGCCAACTTGACATTTCTAGTTAGATTCAAACGGGCACCTCAATCATAACATAGGAAGATAATCCTTGAGCTTAGTCTCGCAAATCTGTTCCTTCTTAGTCATCCCCATCCATGAACATGGTCCATCATTCATTCACCATTCATAAAGCCAGGCATTATCTTTGATTTCTCTTTATTTTGTCCACTAAACCTAATTCCCCAACAAGTCTTGTTGACTTTCCTACCTTATTCGCTACATACTATGATAGCGTCTCAGCTGGGCTTTCTTCTCTGATTATCGGCTTTCTACAAACTTGTCCCTACACTTCAGATAAAATACATGCTCGAAACTTCATTTTTAATAATTTTACTATTCTCTTTGGCTGTGCTGAGTCTTCGTTGCTGTGTGGGCTTTTCTCTAATTGAGGTACACAGGCTTCTCGTTGCAGAGGCTTCTCTTGTCGTGGAGCGTGGGCTCTAGGGTGTGTGGGCTTCGGTAGTTGTGGTGTGTAGTCTCCATAGTTGCAGCTCCTGGCCTCTAGGGCACAGGCTCAATAGTTGTGGCACACAGATTTAGTTGCTCCAGGGCATGTGGGAATCTTCCCGGACCAGGGATGGAACCAATGTCTCCTGCTTTGGCAGGTAGATTCTTCACAACTGAGCCACCAGGGAAACCTCTCCAAACTTTGATGCACAAGATTCTCCATGGCTTGACCCCTTCCCACCTCCTTCGTATCATCTCCTTTCCCCTCTCTTCTCCTCTCCTTCAGTCTCCTTCTTAGGGCTTTCCAGTAGCCCTTCTCTTTATCTTGAAATCTCTGATCTTCAGATGCTAACTTCTTTTTGAAATCTAGAATGTTATTTAAATGATACCTCCTTGGAGAGACTTTCTCAACTAGGATTCCTCATCTGAACCACAAAATACAGCAAATGACTTCAGAACAGGCCCCTCCCTAATTTTCTCAAGGATTGT